CTATGAAACTACTTTTGGGGTTTTAACAAAAAATATTTCTTGTAAAATTTTGGTATAAACTATACTTCTGCTCCATCTCAGATTTAAATCTTAACTCTAATATAAAATTTAATTTTTATTTTTAATAAAAATTATTTGCTTTATATATTACATGATTTTCATATATTTAGTATTAAACACTACTAGTACAATATATAATATTTGTAAATTTTTTTAAAAATATAATAAAAATTTAAAAATTTAAATTTTAAAAAAATAACTAATTTAAATTTAGTATTTTGTCTTAAATTTGGCTACTTTAAAAAAAGATACTGATTTAAGATATCTTATACTGTATATAGTTTTTTGATATTAAAATAACATCTTGGCTATCTCCTTTTATTTAATTATAAGTTAATTTTATAGTATATTATAGTATATTTATATATATTTAATTGATGATCTAGATAAGATCAGCACAAATACTATATTGAGACAATAGTAAATTTTGGTGATAAATACAATATAAATTTTTATTGTATGCTAGAATCTGAGTAGAGTCTAATAAAAAGTATTTTGTTATTAAGTTAATAATCAAAGTCAATTAATTAAAAGTTATAGAGCTCACTAATACATATCTAATAATAGTTAGATTATTCAAATTGGCTTAGTAGATACTAAAATATTACTAAAAAATGATTAGCTAACTATATAAAATTTTTAGTTTATTTATATAGAATTTTATATAGTTAACTAATCATTTTTAGTAATATCTCAGTATCCACTAGGCCAATTTAAACAATCTACTATTGGCCACTACTTATAGTACTCAGAGTCTTATTCAAGAATATTATTTTTAAAATTGAATAGTATCAGATAATCTCATTGGTAAAGAAAGTAGAGTACTTTATGTAGTAGGATACTATTTTGGGGGATACTGTAAGCAGTAGCAAACAGTAACTACTATTAGATACATCTCAGTGAGCTCTACAACTTTTAATTAATTGGTAATTTGTCAGTCAGCCAGAGAGAGATTATAGTATAATGTAACATGGTTTACATATAAAAATTAGAGTTTTGCGAATATGGGTTGCATCATTCTAAAACTTTTTTTATACTAAGTTAACCACCTTTGGGCTTCTAATTGAAGTTGTAGAGCTTATTGAAAGGAATCTAATGGTAGTTGAATCGTCAAAATCAGCCTTGTGAAATATTTTTTGAAGATATCTTGTGATTCACTAACTCTTTTAACAATAGAAAGAGAATTTTACATAGTTAGTGAAATGTTTTCGATGATATCTCATGATCTACAAGGTCGATTTTGACAATTCAACCACTATTAGATTCCTCTCAACAAGCTTTACAACTTCAATTAGAAGCCCAAAGGTGGTTAACTTAGTACAAAAAAAGTTTTAGAATGATGTAGCCTACATTCACAAAACTCTAATTTCTATATGTAAACTGCATCACGTTATACTATAACCTCTTTCTGGCTAACTGGTAAATTACCAATTAATTAACTTTAGTTGTTAACTTAATAAAAAAAAAACTTTTTATTGAACTCTGCTCAGATTCTAGCATATAGTTAATATCATAAAAATTTTGCCCCAAATTTTAATATAAAAATTGTGCTGATCTTATCTAAATCAACAATTAAAGAGTATATACTAGCCACATATACAATTTTAATTGTCTATTTAAATAATCTATTTATAACCAAGTTTTATATTAGATACTATATCTATAAACTAACTGGAAGATTATTTATTTAAACTCTTTATATTTATAAGATTGCTTTATAATTGAGTAAAAATACTAATACTCTTATTTTTAGATATCTAGCTTAGAACTTTAAGCAGACTCAACAATTTTAAAAAACTTTTTTATCTTTGAGAATAAACCTGTTAAAGCTTTCTATACCTATAATTTAGCTAATTTAAATTTTAGTAATTTATACCAAGTCTAAAAACTTGTACTTGTAATTGGTCTTTAACTTTTGCTATTATTATCTATTTCTGTTCTTGTAGAGTTTATTCAAACTTTAGTACTTTTTTTAAGTCTACTTAATACTTTTTACTTTTGGTATCACTCTAGTTAATTTTCTCAAACTACTAATTCAGATAGACCAAAAGAAATACTAGTTTTTGATTTCTATTTAGTAAATCTTTTTTTCTAGTTAATGCTTTGGTAGTCTAGTTATATAAATTTAAATTTAATATATTCTATACTTATCTTATATCAAATTAGTATAATATTATATGTAGGATATTCTATATTATCTTTATATATCTGCTACCTAATTTGTATAGTTTAAACAGTGATATATATTTTAACTATCTTAAAGTTTTTTGGCACTGTTCAATATTCAAGTATTCAAGTATCTAAAAGTATTCAAAGTATATTCAAGCTTTAATGATTAATAAATTTGTTTAAAAAATATATAATTATATATTTTTTAAATGTTTAACATATTTTACTTAGAATTTAATATAAGTTATCTTAATAAAATTTTGAGTAATTTTAATTTATTTAATTGTTCAAAATTGTTCAAAGTATTCAAACTTACTGTTTATAACTATCCTGTGACAATATTAGTTTAAGTATAAAATATATCAATTTTTAACTCATGCTGATAAAGTACTCTTGCTAAATATCTAGTTTTTATTTAGTTGTACTAATCTCAAATATATCTTATTCTATTAGTATTACTAAAGGTCTGTACTATCTTTTTACTCAAGACTTGCTAAACTGTATCTATTTTTTTCAGTTTTTAATTTTATATAATTATTAGAAGTTTGTACTAAGGCCACACAAATAAAATTAATTGATTCTTATTATATATTAAAGTAAAAAAGCACTCAGGAGCTAGCTGTTTTTGTATAAACTTAAAAAAATATTTTATAAAATTTTTTTTTAAAAAATTGTATAAAATAGCAATTGATTATTGAAAATAAACTACATTTGTTATAATAGCTTATTTAATATTTGATAATCTATATGAGTGCGTGAGAATGAAAACCTGTAACTGATCATAGTAAATCATTATAATCAGTTCCAGGTTTTTATTCTCACGCACTCATATGGAAAATAGATATTTTTGAGTATGTTTTGTAGATTAAGAAGTTTATTTTTAATTTGATACCAGTTATTTAGATTTTCTGCATTGTAATATATAGATACAAGATTAAACCTGTTGATTTGCAACTATACATACCACCAAAATAAATTTTTAAAAAAAAATCTAATTTTGTCTATATTAGAGCAAATTAGAATTTTTTATATGCAAAAGCAAATCTAATTTAGATAATTATATTCCTTATAATTTCATTTCTTCAAAAAAGTGTCAAAAAATTTGTTTTTTAACTAAAATAGGCTAAAAACAATTTCATCTTTAAATTTTAATTTTAGATTTTAGATCTCAAAATAATTTTATTAGTATGTATATTTGCATTATAAGACTATACTTTTATTTAAAGCAATCTGCGAGTATATTTATATACATATATCGTATATATAATCATAGTGACTATACTTTTATTTAAAAGCAATTCTGCAGGTATATGTATGTATAATCATAGTAATATACATTTGATATATGCTAAAATTTAAAAAAGAAAATTTTAATAGTAGTCTATTTTGTTGGTTTAATTTCTTCATAGAATTTCTGTGTATATTTATAATAACACATATATTCATACACATACTAGTATAATAAATTTAATCTTATAAAGATAAGTATATTAGAGTGTATAAAATCAAGACAATCTTTATAAATTTTATTATGATTATAACCCCAAAATTTTTCTTGATTCACTTTAATATTATAGTAAATATGATAAAAATTTTTTTACTTTTTTTCTTATTTCAAATTTTAATTCTTACTTTTCTGCTTAGTTTGATATAATTGGTTATGTATTTGAATAATAAACCAATTTTAGCTGCATACTCATAGTATGAAAGTTATGTTTGTCTAAATTATGATTATTCTATCATTATAAGTATAATTATAACTAGAAACCAGGAACCAGTATAAGCCTAGAGCATGATTTTGTCAATCAGTAAAATATGATTAGTTTGTGATCACATGGGCAGACAGACAGAATCTATTGCAAATCACACTTTATGTAGAAATAGAAAGTTCTCCACTTCGTTCTAGACTAATTACTTAAATTGTATAGGTGTTAGCTTTATTATAAATAACTTTGATCTTGTATTTCACTAGACTGTATTATAATACTTCAGTTTACATTAACTATATAACCATATATGAAACATTAAAACAACTAGTACTCAATTCATTAATTTTTCAACTTAAAAAAAATTATAATACTTTCTCTTACACTATGCCTGCAATAAATATACAAATAACCCAAGAATCAAAATATTGTTTGACTAGAAAGTAATATCAGTACAAACAGATGTTACAATTGAACAATTTTTTTTAAAGTTTGTTGAAAATAATATGTTATATAAACATTTGACTCTAGCTAAAAAAATTAAAGCACAATACAAAAATTCAAAAACTACAGTTAATCAAGTTATTGATCTTGAATATAATTTGTGGGAAATAGCAATAGATTATAGAAAGCATTTTATTTTTAAATTATATACATTTCAAACAACATCGATCTATTAATATACCAACTCTTTTAATATAATTCTTAATACTCAAAACTCTATTTCACTTCTAATATAGAAATCTAATACCAAGCTAAATAAAAAAGAACAGCTATGAAGTAATATAATGAGATAGATAAAAAAAAGAAAATAGAAGCTAGATAGAACAAGATGTAACTGAGACAGTTGAAAAACTATTTATTCAAGATTTAACTAATGTACTGTGGTATATAGATAGGTATAATTATAATATATTTACTCAATGATATTACTTACCAAAAGCTTTTAAAAGTTTTATAAGGTATAATAATTTACCAAATTATAAATATGCTCAGTCTAGGTTTAATATTGAAGAGCTTAATGAACATAGCAACTGTTTTCTTAAATACGTTACTCACTGATAAATGTCAAGATTACTATTCTCAAAATTTCTTAAAGAATCAATAACAAAGCTTAGTAAAGATCTCTCTAAATATGTGAAATATCTCTTTTACAAATATGCATTAACAGCTCAAAATCAAGAATTCAGTCAACTCATAGTTAATGAACTTGACAATAGCCAGTTAAAAATATTAATAGCAAATATAAAAACCTTTCATTAGCTTTAAGATCTAAACAATACTGGTAACCAATTTTGGTTGATGACTTTTGCTTCTCAATAATATGTATATAAGTATTTAATATATACAAAAAAAAATAAAAAAAAAGTAGAAAAAAAATAAAAAAAATTCTTATATTGAATTAAATGCATATAGACAAAAATATCAATATATAATATGAGGATGATGCTAGAAATTAGATGATGCTAAGAATCATGTAATCATATGATGATTTTTCGCATAAACAAATTCAAGTGTATCTGTTATTTGATATATATTTGATATTGTCAACCAATCTAGAAAAGTTTGCTGGTATTAGTATTAGGTTTGGTTATTTTTTTTTAATATTATATATGCTATACCTAATCTACTAGGGTGATTAAATATGTTTACATCAAAACATACCCAAACTCTAACCTTAACACTAATGACAAAACTTATAATAAATATATATCAAATGACAGACGCACTTGGATTTGTTTATGCAGAAAATCATCATATGATCATATGATTCCTAACATCATCTGATTTCTAGCATTATCCTCCATATATAATAAATTTAGAAGCTGAATTCATATTTAAAGTTGGGGTCTATACTTATCATTATAGTAATATCTACAATACAACACATGTTTGGTATATAAATGAAGAAGTATCAGAGAAAAAAATTGTTAATCAGTATTATAAATTTGAACAGATTTAAAAAAATATTTATCCACCTATCATATATGTTGTATATATTAAGAGTATATAGACATATGTAAACTTTATCTAAATAAATGACCAAAGGCAAAGTTGATACATATATATAAGGAATTAACAAATACACTTCAGCTACAAAAACAACAAATCAAAAAGAAGTAGATAAACATGTTAGTTTAGCCTTTAAACTAAATAATCCCAAAATAATTTGTGATTTAAAAGAACTTAATAAAGGTTGACCAGGAAAGTATAATAAATTCTGGGATTTTTTAGAAGGTACTACACAAAAAGCTATAGTATAGTTGATAAAAGAAGATATGACCCAATTGTACACCTTGCATAGGCTATTTCAGTTTGTGATCTTTGTGATATGATAATACAAGAG